TTCTTACAATATACCAAATATATCATCTTGAATTCACCCCTCCATCATTCGCCTTTATCCCTTCATTCCTGGAATATGGAACAGTTTCAACAGATCTCATTTCTCCATTTACGTACATGTGTACACAGTATTTGCACCATATTCACCCTACTGTACCCTTTCCCCACCTCCTCCCCCTCCCACTGGTACAACACCCCCAAGACAGGCCCTGTTCCACCCTCCTGTTCTTTGAGTTTGTAGTAGAAAGAAAATGACATTCCTGTTTGTTTAAAATAGCTACAGAGGGATTGTATCAATTTGTTAGCATGGTCTGTATCAAGCTCCTTAATTAGGCTACCGCTCCTTCCTTCTCCACAGGTCTGCAATTTCTTCGGCAACCCTGGCAGACACACTACTTATGTGAGCTTAAAAAACCAGTGGCTCAACAGACCTGTGCTTTACAGTTCCACCCTATGCAAGAAACTATAAGCAACTCTTTCTTGGAACCTGTGGCTCTTGTAGTGAGTCCTTTTCTTCTGGAGTTAGAACGTTTTAAATAAGTACAATCCAATTTTCCTGACAATTTCAACTGTTCTTTCCCTGATGTTTGGGATGACATGATGTGTTGATTTATCATTACTTTGTTTCCATCCTCTCTTTATCATTACTGTCATGATTAGTGTCACGACAAATGACTTCAATTTTTTTGTAGCCCTTGTCTTCTCAAGCCTGGCCAGTGCCACGCAATCTCTCCAAGGTCTTCCCAATATGAGCCTAAAAACTACAGGAGCAGAAAGCAAACTTAAAACTGGAGATTAAATTATACATCAGAGTCTTGCCAGTTTGTTGTTGATGTAATTTAATTTAGGTGCGGTTCTGTGACCAGGATCTTACCCAAATTTCCATGTTTTATTCCAAATCTGGTGCCAAAAATTCATCACAAGACACAAAATTTGAGTCTTTTTGCTTTAACTCCTGACTCATAACTATCCAAGCCTTACCTGTTCACGGTTTTTGTCCTTAGTTAGAATGTGGCTGTGAACTCAGTATCGGGTTTGTTTTCTTCGACACTTGTTAACTGAGTCAGGACAGATTGTATGATTCTGAAAATGTCATTATGGTAACTTCATTAACAAGTGGAATATTGAGGCATTTTATAGTATTATTTTCTCTGCCACATGAGCTATAAGCTCAGAAAAGAAGTCAAAGGAGCAGAATTATCCATTATTGGGGATGTAAGGAGGGCAAGACTGATGCTGGACTAGATAGCAAACAGGTGCCCAGAATATGTCTTGCGGTTTCTCAGTGTGTCTGACACTGGGATGACTGTCATGGTCTTCATATTGGCAAAGATAGGACAAGGAATTATGCAGAAAGCCACTTCTACATATGCTTTCTGGTTCCACCTAAGGTCTACTCCAGGAAACTTGGAGATAGAAAGGAAAGAACCTTCTGTCCTGATGACTGGCCACCAGTGAGTGATGGATAATTTACTTATTCTGCTTTTCATCTATCCTGTGAAATGATTCAAGCTCATCGTGTGAATGCTGAATTGCCCAGATGTTGATGGTGTTGCCTAGAAGGGGTTTCCTTCCTTCTCTAGCTAAAAAGCTATGGTCAGTTTGAGCCCCAATTAAGAAGTCACTCTTCATGTTAATATGACTGATGGCCTCCTTTGCATTGTCAAAGTGTGTTATTATTCACTTATCATATTTTATATGTATTCACACAGTAAATGTTTATAAGTATAATGAATTAAGTTCAATCTTATTGTTGAAAAGGTCCATTTGCTCTTACAAAAAAATTTTTATTGGCGGTACTGGGGCTTGAACTCAGGGCCTATGCCTTAAGTCACTCCACCAGCCCTATTTTTGTGAAGGGTTTTTTTAAGATAAGGTCTCACAGAACTATTTGCCCAGGGCTGGCTTTGAACCACGATCCTCCTGATCTCTGCTTCCTGAGCAGCTAGGATTACAGGTGTGAGCTACCAGTCCCTGGCTTAGAAAATCCTTTTGTCCTGATAAGGTTTGACTACATACATTAAATATGCATGCTTAGACCTGGTGAGTCTAAGACCTGCTTAGATTTTGTGAGCCATCTGCTCTTCTCAGATCTTCCGTTCTCTCCCCTAACTCTCATGTGATAAGCGTATCTTGGACGCTTAAGAAATAGAAGCAATGGAACATGGCATGGCTCATCTCCCTCAGGGGAGTCCCTGACCAACCTACTGGAATCTGCAGCCCTGTGTCCTACTTGCCCTTGGCGAGAGTGGACTATGCCTGTGTCCCCCAAGGACCAAGTTCTTCACATAACTTCTTGACCCTTCCTCCCATGCCTGCTCAAAGACTTCATTCTGACTGTCCTCACTTTCTTTGGCATGAATTATTTTCTTCCATCAGTGTATTCTTCAATTTTTCCTTAAAAACAAACAAGAAAAAATAAAAAAAAGACTTGCCTGAGCCCACATCACCTACTGCTTGGTTCCTCTATGTGTTTACATGAAAATATCTTGAAAAAATGTCTGAATTAATGTTGTCACTTGTTCACTTTAGCATCTTCTAATAAGGCAGTTCTTCCATGTTGCCAATCCAATGATTCCTAATTCTTAGGAGTATTCAGCACCATTGGTGCTGCTCCACTTCTCTTGAGTTTTGGAACACTCACTTCAGGTCTTGGTACCAGCTGTTCCTTCCCTCCAGGTCTCCTCTTCCTGACCTCTTTCTTGTCTTTGAGATCTCAGCTCAAATGTCCCTGGTCCCCTTAACCACTCATTCCATACGCAATTTCTCAGCATCATATTTCAATACTTCATCATCTGATAGTTTTCTTTCCTTCGGCTATTGGTTTATTAGCTTTCTTCCCTATTAGGATATAAAGTCCATAATATCAAAGAACTTGCCTTTATCACTGCTATTTTCTCAAATTTTAGAATAGAGCCTGGCATAAGTTGAGCTCACAGAAAAATATTTGTTGAATGAATGGATGGATGGAAGTCAAAATCCTTATATCCAAAAAGTCAAAAAACCATCTAAGAAGAAATGATTATATATGTATGTGTGTATAATGATAATACATAATAGAAATGATAATTGCTATGTGGATATATCATACACAAAGCTAATGTTTTATTTTAAACATGTGAACTCTGAAACTCTTTCACATTTACATAATAAAAATAATTATATAAATAGTTCATGAGACCCCCATCTCAGTCAATATCTGGGTGCAGTGGAGTACACCTGTCATCCCAAGCTATGCAAGACCCTTTCTCCAAAATAACCAGAATATAAAGGGCTGGAGGGAAGTCTCAAGTGGCAGACCCTCTGCCTAGCAAGTGCAAAGACCTGAGTTCAAACCCTAGCACTACCAAAAACCAAAAAAAAAAAAAAAACCCACAGTCACTTGGAAATCAAATGTGTTTTCTCACAGACCATTTATTTCACAGAGAGGTTATGCTTTCAGATTGTTCCAAAAACTCAATTTTACTTATAACACAGCTGGATGAGAGGCCTACAGCCTAAATTTGAAGATCTAGCATAAGGGAACAAATAGAAGAGATATTATTAATGATATTGATGAATATTTAAATAATTATAAATTATTATCGTATTACTGGTTAATTGTCATTTAATATTCTTTTGTAGTTTATAAGCACAGAAAATTAAGAAATATTTTCATAAGAAGCTTTCTACTCTCTTTTCTGATCACTTGTCCCATTTTTGCTGTGTTTTTCTCTCAATTCCCTCAAGTACCCAAGGCTCTGCCTAGGTTTATAGCAGCACCCATGTTAGAAAAAGTTTACATGCTTATGAATCATTTTGCAAAATTCTGAAAAAAATATTTGTTATATTGAATAATGCTATACCTTAATAGATTAATTCAATACCATAATGTCTTTGCAACATTTGAACCTTCTTTTAGCATCTTAAAATTTCTTTCATTTTTCTCTTTTTAGGTTAAAACTAAAGTTAAATAATTTCTCACTATGTATTATACTTTGCTTTGTTGAATAAGTTATTTTTTTCCCTGAGAGAGGTACTAATATAAGCTGCTATAGAGCTCTTAATTATTGTTTATTTTTGTGACTTTTCATGATATTTCAGTTGATTCAGGTGATTGCATTGGGCTCTCCAAGTATAAAACATAAGATCTATAAGCTCTGTTTTGTCTCTTCCTTTTAAATAATTATATATATTGTGTTTTATAGCCATTAACAGAGTATTCATAAGTGGTGGAAAGTAGTAGTAACTCCAGTTTCTCCATTAAAAATTATGCTGTATATTTTGTTAAAGTAGCCTTTATCACTTGAAAGAGACTTTTAAATATTTCAGGTGTGAATAATATTTAAAAATAAATGACTATGAAGTTTTAGGTATTCTATCTACACAAGAAGATGATGTACCTTTTCCTCTTCAGATTAATTGTCCTTAGGTCTTTGAAGCCTCCTTGTTACACTGTAATGTTCATTTTGATTTGCTTCTGCTGAGTGGAAGGAGTTTTTCATTTGACCCACCCATGCAATCGATGCATGCTTCTGTGTTTCTGTGATATCTTGCTTAGTTTCTAGAAAGAGGAGTTTGAAATTGCATTAAGTATTTCATGAGGATTTGTATCATTTTCTCTAACTAAGAACAATTTAAATAGTGCAGTAAGTTACCAGGATGTAGAGTCTGATATAACTACATTTAATATATGTTTACTCCCTGATCTCAAGATGTTTATAATCTGATCACTATTCAAATTAGGTCAAAACATAATGCTATTTTAGAAAACTTGTAAAATACTTCCCAGAAAAGTAATTATCATATAAAGAACTTAAAACTAAAATCCAGGATACCTATGTTCTCTTCCAATTTCTGTCACTATTCATATGATTGTGGCCAAGTGTCCTTGATGATCTAGAATTGAATATTTTATTTGGAAAGCAGAAATTGATGTCACCAAGCTTGTGTGGTTTGTTATATGATTTTATAAAACACTTGATTTTGTCTTAATGGCTTTTTATTTGCATTCCACTTCAGATTTTACAATCTGTATTATGAAAGCTTGAAAATACATTCTGGTTACTGAGGACTGAATTCCCCATGGGACAACACATGTAGGAGACACCTGACACCACTGAAGTTTCTCTCAGAACAGACGGTCATCAGAGGGTATGCGGTGCTTACTGGGAGAGGGAAAATACATCCTTAGGTGCGCCCTGCAGAAGGAAAACAGTAAGCAGTTCTGTGCTTACTGTTTAACTCTACAGATGTCGATGCATAGTTCCTTAGGACTCTGGTCAGCACCCAGAGGCTTTATGCTCCAACGGGGAGATTTCTTTCCCCTTGGAAGCAGTCATGTAAGGTTTTTTCTTTTTTTTTAATTTTTATTTAGAGCATTGCACAGATTTTTCCCTCCATGGGTGGGGTGTATGATCTTACATGAAAGATGGTCTTGAAGTTTTCATCAACAAAGATATGTAAATTAAAGCACTATCCATACTTCTGTTTATTCTCTAAATCCTAATAAACATTTTACATATTGGAGGCCCAAAAAGCTATAATCAAGAAAGAATTGAATCTCATGCCTCCTGTTTTTGAGGCTGAGTTGATATGCGAAGGCTGAGTTGAATCACAATTGATTCAAGACAGAATGAGAAAAAAAATTCTACTTTGGAAATAGCATAAGGCTTAGGGGAGGAGCCCACCTGCTACATATTTTACCTGGCCTTTCTGATTCTCTTTATACAGTAAGGATGACCACACAACTTAAGAGTGAACTTGAGATGATATTGGCTACTCTAGAGACCCCTGAATATTTATGTTTGTGTGAGGAAGATTGTTCCTTCAAGAATCACTTTTATCCAACATTTAATGCCATTGAAATCAAATTACAGAAAACTAAGGTTATTTCCCTAATTTTACTGATCGTGACCTCACAACCAGGACCATGCATGACTCACACGAAACCCTAGAGCCCCTCGGCTGCTATGGAAGAACCAGATGTCTAGAGTCCTTGTGAATAGGTCACAGCCACACCCATTGTCCATCACGATCTTAAACTCATCAGGTTAAAAATCACTGAAGAGTTCTGATGTTAGAGCCTTGAAAGAACGAGTGAAATTTTCATGGTGTGTGTTTGATTTTTGTTGTTGCTTGTGTTTTGGTGGTAGATAGTTAAACACTCGTGTATAGCAACTATTTATACAATGAATAGAAAGCAATGTCTGTCTCTATGAGAATTCATGTTTTCTGCCGTGCTGGGTTTGAACCCATGACCTTACACATGCTAGGCAAGTGCTCTACCACTGAGCTATACCCACAGCCTGAGAATTAACATAGCAGTGAATATCTTTACAGTTGCAAACATAGACAAAAGGCATTTAAAAAAAATCTAAAAACACATTTACATACTAATGTTTTAAGAGTCACTTAAGAGAACTTTTCATTTATCTGTTGGGATAAAAGTAGAGAAAACACTCTCCGGGCAAATTCTAGCTCCATTGAGAAGAGTTTATGTGTCAATGGCTGAAAGTGGTACTTATATTTCATGGCAAAATATAAGTTTAAAATATTGGGGTTAGGTCAGATATATACTTTTATTATTATGAATAACAAGTAAGTGTGTACATGAAGATGCAGGAATTCTTGGTTTAGACTACTGAGATATTGTTAATCAGAACATTGCATGTACACTCCAAGATGTATCACCAAATTTATCAATGATTCATTCAGGAACAATTTTTTTCTTATATTTAATCTATACACTTGTTGGTAAACTTGGATCTTGTACAACACAATTTTAAATATTCAGTAAATATTGTATGTGGTCTTATATTGCTCTAAGGTAGCTGTTGATGATACTTCTATTCTTGTTTTGTGTGTGTGTCATTAGCACACTGCACTGTCATTCCGTTTGGTTGAGTTTCCTCATCTGAAATGATCTGCTTATAAAGACTTGCATATTTTAATAAGCAATTTTGTATAGTTGATTTTAAGAACCAGAGTTCTACAGATGTGAGTACATTATTTCATAAATTGATCTTTCTTAGTATGATATATATTGAATTGAGAAAAATGAACCATTGTAATGTCTTTATGGTCTTAATTGGACATCAAAATTATATAGTATCCTTCAAGGGGGTGACGTGAAACACTTTCCATAGCTATTACTCGACATACTCTTTCATTGAGATTATGATTGGAGCAGTTTGTTAGGAAGCATTAGTGTTACCTACTATCTGCTGAATACTATTTGTTGATTTAAAATATAAGGGCTGAGTTTTTGATGGGGGAGATTTTGGTGTGCATAAAATTACAGATGCAATTGCCTTTCCCCCATAATTACCTAGTCATGGTGTATAGACTCAACCACAAAACAAATTTGCTTCCTTATTTTGAAAGATAGGCTTCGCTTATCTTTCAGATTTACTTCAATGACATATTTTTTCTTCTCTTTTACAACAGACAAAAGAAATTCGTGACCATATTTTCTGGCGTCACCTATAAAATACTGAACTTGCAACATTTTGATCTTTTCTTTTTTTTTTTTTTTTCTTTTATTATTCATATGTGCATACAAGGCTTGGTTCATTTCTCCCCCCTGCCCCCACCCCCTCCTTACCACCACTCCACCCCCTCCCGCTCCCCCCTCAATACCCAGCAGAAACTATTTTGCCCTTATTTCTAATTTGTTGTAGAGACAGTATAAGCATAATAGGAAGGAACAAGGGGTTTTGCTGGTTGAGATAAGGATAGCTATACAGGGCATTGACTCACATTGATTTCCTGTGCGTGGGTGTTACCTTCTAGGTTAATTCTTTTTGACCTAACCTTTTCTCTAGTTCCTGGTCCCCTTTTCCTATTGGCCTCAGTTGCTTTTAAGGTATCTGCTTTAGTTTCTCTGCATTAAGGGCAACAAATGCTAGCTAGTTTTTTAGGTGTCTTACCTATCCTCACCCCTCCCTTGTGTGCTCTCGCGTTTATCATGTGCTCATAGTCCAATCCCCTTGTTGTGTTTGCCCTTGATCTAATGTCCACATATGAGGGAGAACATACGATTTTTGGTCTTTTGGGCCAGGCTAACCTCACTCAGAATGATGTTTTCTTGAGAAGGATCCATGATTCCATCAAATACTCTCTTTTTAATTAAACAACCAACTTTGCAACAGCCCTTGAGAAATTGTTTGGAATAAGGTATCATCAACTGGTCATTTATGTGCTTATGATATATGTTATATTATGTATATTCTACATATTATTTGTATACTATATATTAAAATAAGACTGCTTTCAAAATGCAAAAAGGTTACAGTAGCAATCACAATCTATCTTCAATACTATCAGTCATTAAAATATGAAGAAAATGAAACAGTATGTGCTCATCCTGTAGGCTACACTTTAATAACGAATTAGGATTTTTATATTGGCCTTTGGTCATCTTTGCTCATAGGTTCATTAAAAGTTGAAAACATTTGAGCATTTGTATGTTACTCTTTTCCTCCTTTTTTTTTTTTAATGGCAACCTCTTCTTTTGCCAACAACAACAACAACAACAACAACAAAAATGTGTAACTTGGATACCAGTTTCTTTTAATGAAGCTTTTGAGTCTTACAAAATATGATTAATCTGATTAATGATTCAGGCTCCTTTTATGCTTACATTATCTAGCACAAAGAGCCCCCCTACAGGTTAAAGTTTAAATGTGGATTACCAGATAAAGCTAGTCCTGACGAGGTTTCTATGGTGCAAGGAAAAATTGGATTTGCTTTTCACCTCCTCTCAGGCTCTGTCATCCTGGTTTTTGCCCTGTTCCCTTGTTCACAGCAAGGATATTAATTTTGCAGTAAAATCTTTAAGCAATTATGCAGATAGCTCTGAAAAAGCAACATACACACACAATAAGAGAAGCTTAACTGAAAAATGGACCCCAGATATTCATTAAAGACAGATGGCTCCGTTGCCAACAGCGTAACTTTGGATGTTTGGGTTAAGCCGGTATTAATCCGCACATCGTGAGAAGACGAAGCTGCTGGCATACAGACCGTATGATTGCTTCTGCTTTTTGCTTACAAAGGAACACAATGATGATTTATGTCTGCCTTTTTGGTAAATGTCCAAAACAGCATTCTTTACTCAAAAGTAAAGTAACATTTTTAAAGTCCTTTGCTATACCAAATACTGAGGCTCACTTTCAAATCATTAATAAAATTTGAGGGATCATATTATTTTGTAATTTTTATTACTCAAAAATCGCAATGAAAGTCAGGGAAAGGATTCCATCTAAAAATTGATTTCAAATAGTTTGATTTTAAGTCTATTGAAAATGGGAACTATCTTAATTAGTAATAAGTCTTTCACATTCTATATAAAACATAACTTTGTATTAATTCAATAAACAATTAAATTTATGGTCATTTATTGTTTGAGTGATTTTTTAAATGGAAACTAGAAAATTTTAGGCCTAAGCAGAATAAAGCAAAATAAAGCGGAAAAATACTAGGTCACATCACTCAAGCAAAAATAAGAATGCTAGAAAGGAATCCTACACACAGTTGAACAAAAATGCATATATGCTCAGTCATTTACACAATTATCAAGACAAGGAGAACCACTGAGGAGCTAATGTACCTAAAACTATATATACATGCATAAACGCCCATATATATATGATATATGTTAGATTTATAAACAATTTCAGCCAACACTTTTTTTTGTAGTCAAAATCTATGGAGAAATACTTTCAGGACAGCGTTGTCCTTGTGACGATCCATGGTGAGTGACGTTCCTTGGAAACAGTCACACTGAGTGTTGAGTCCAAAGACTGGAAGAAACCTTGACGTTACCCTACTGTTTCATCTACATATGGAGACTGAACGGTCCTTGTTAAATGTTATGTTATGTGTTAAATATTATGTTTCCTTACATAAAACAGCACCAATTTTTTGTAAAAATAAAGCAAGCAGATACACTGAAGTCTAGATTATTCACAATCCTGCTGCTGACACTTTTTTTTTTTTGATATTTCTTTTTTTTTTTCATTTTTCTTTTATTATTCATATGTGCATACAAGGCTTGGTTCATTTCTCCCCCCTGCCCCCACCCCCTCCCTTACCACCCACTCCACCCCCTCCCGCTCCCCCCCTCAATACCCAGCAGAAACTATTTTGCCCTGACACTTTTAAACATATACTTAAAGAGGTTCTTCTGTATCTTTAGATGTATATTTTTAAGTGGTGGGATCTTATTGGTTATTTTTATTAAGTTATTTATCTTTTGGTGTTTTTGAGACTGGCTCTCACTATGTAACCCAGGTTGGTTTGGAACTTTCTATGTAGCTCTGACTAGCTTTGAACTTGCTACCCTTCTGCCTCTGTTTCCCAACTGCTGGGATTACATATGTGAACCACCACACCCAGATTTTATTATTTTAGAATCTGCTTTTTATCATTCTACCAATCTATGTAGTGAATATCAATTTTATATGATCGAATATTCTTACCCAACCTCATTTCACTGATTGCATAGTATGTTACTGTTCAGAAAACCACGAATTCATTTTACTAACCCCCTGTTGATAATAAACAGATAGTGAAAACATTTTTATTATTTTTTTTAAAATCACAAAATTTCTGTATTCAACTAAGACTTCTGTAAAACATATGAGCAGTGAGTTATCTTCCTGCATTGTTCCTTTTCACGAGGAAATGAAAATTCTCTTGGGCAAAAGTATATTTGTGGAGAGAAAATTTAACAAGCCTTTTGATAAATTCAACCTTTTGCTTAAAAAATGCATTAGCAGTCTGAATAAAAATAGCTTGCTGCTAGAGAAAGGGATTATGTGCTAATAACCCTAACCTTCTTTCCAATTGCATCCTGGCAGCCCTGGAACAACTGCACTTAGGTCACTCTACTAACACATCAGCTCCCCTGGGAACCCTCCATTGAACCTGCCAGAGACCGTCACCCATTGCCTCTTTTTATAGTCCTGAGTGCTGATCTCTATCTGTGGCTCCCTTCACTGAGAAGATTTGCTTCTGTGTTCTTCCTCAATTGGTGGGAGCCACTTCAAGGTGAGGTTTATGTCTTACTCAGTTTCCTTATCTAGTATTTGTTGAGATGCCTGACCTTGGCTAAGCATTCTGGAAATGATCATTGAAATGAATAGTGATCTGAGGACATTTGACACGAAGACAGAGAAAAACAAAACATATGAAAGAAGGGTAGAACTACCTTCACCAAGTTCTGGATGGAGCTTCCCAATGTTCAGACAGCTACTGTGACCTCAGTGTTTTGGTGTCACTTTAAGGCATGAGAAGACAGAATGGGATTTGGCTTTGACTGCTTCCTCTTCTGAATGGACCCAACATACATGTGGTCTCTTCCCAAAAGAAAACTATGTTGAGCCCAACTATGTGTGCTTAGATTGTGAAGAAAACCAAAGAAGAAGTAATATAGTGGTTGAATATGAATTTTGTCTATGATTGCTGCCCAATTTCTGTCACTACGGTAGGGTGAGGGACTGGCAATAACAGTATTAAGACAAAATAAGTCCTAGGTACGGAAGAACTTGATTCATGTATTAGTGCCCATTTACAGTTATTTACAATTATTGAATGTGTGTTGTGAGTGAAACACCATACTAACTTGGTGTTTCACTTATAAAGTAGCAAAGACCAATGGGTTCTCAAACTTTTTTGTTATACCTGCTTTGTGAGATAATAATTTTGAAGCAAGACCAAGGAAGTCAGAACAGGTTACTTTGACTTACCCCATAATAGAACTGGAATGGTCCAATGAAATAAGGTTCCTTAAAAAGAAGGGAGCTTCCTTTCATTGAAAGGATCCAGAAAGCACCTGCTGGGATGGGAAATGATTGAAGGTCTTTCTCCCCATCATCTGTGAAGATACTTCCTAACTGCCAAACTCCTTCCAAAACTAGAGTCTGTAATCTATAAAAACTACTTATTTGTGCACAAAACGTCTTCACTTATAATAATCACCCCATTTACAAATAGTTTGCATGTATTTTATTGCTTTACTATCCAATTGAGAAATTAACCAAACTTCTATGTTGCCTTTGAAAGGATTGTATAGATTAAACTTGGAAACAGGAGTCATATATGTAGGTCTTAATATAAGCTGAAATATCCAAAGTATTGACTGGCTATTGAAACTTTTTCTTAAATCATTTTCTTATATCAAGATTCTTTCTTGTGTTGGTATCTGTCATGACAAGTGTGGTTAAACATTCTGGTAATAGAATTCAGCAGACATGCATATCAAAAACACGAGTTTTTCTGTGGTTTGAAAGTGATATTAAAAAATCTTCTATTTCAGTGATACCAAATGTTTCTTTGAGCTTAACATCTTGTGACAGGAAATGAACAAAGCATTAAAAAATAATGCAGCTAGACATCTTGTGAAAATTTAGTGTATTTTGTCTGAGGAAATTTCCTTATGCAAACACTTATTTCTGCCTTCTTGGTAAATAAAGCATCACATTTAAATAAGAATATTTACA